CCCACTTCCTCCCCCACCCCCCTGCCTCCCCCTCTCCCATGTCCCCCAGAACCATTGGTCCCATTGTTTTCTCCTCCAGATTGTTTATCCCACCTATCTTATCTAGATAGACCTGAAGAGATAATAATATGCACAAAAAACAAGACAGCGCAAAATAAAGCAACAAAACAAAACAACAACAACAAAAACAATGACAAAAAAAGAGAAAAGCCTGTAAATAGTTGAAGGTCTGTTTGTTGACCTTTAGGAGTGTTTTCTGGTCAAGTCTGATGGGGTACCAGGCCCTGGCCCCAAAGTCCATTTTTGGTATTCCCTGGGGACTTCATTGTTCTGTTCCCCTTGTTCTGTTGCACACCCTTAGTGTTTTGCCTCAGTGTATTGGGGTCAGGTTGGGTGCAATTCCCACACTGTGTCTCCACTATCATCCCCCATAGTCGCTATGGGACAGTGAAGGACATCTTGTCTCATAGTGGGGCCGGCCCTATGGTCATCTCTGTGCTTTGGCTACTCTGAGAGGGCCAGGATGTGCTCCACTCTCTCTTCCTCCCCCTTTCTTTGCTCCTGTGTGCTCTGATCAGACATGTCCCTCTTCTTGAGCTGTAGCTTCACTGCTGTCCTCTGAAGTGAATTTTATTATGGGGATGGGGTGGGACGGAGGCTGTACACATGGCTGGGATTGAGGTTGGCCCCTCAGACATCTCTGTTGGTCCCCTGCTTCACATACGTATCATCTCTTATAAAGATTACCATCATTCCCCATTTGGAAGCCTCTTTTAAGATGTAGGTTAGGTTTTAGCAATCACTTACCCCACTTTCTCAGGAGACTGCAGGAGAACCACCCGCAGAGAAGTAGGTTTTTCTCTTCTAGTGTTACTTAGCCCATCCTTGAGTTATTTGCACTGTGGGACCATCAGTTATTTATCTCTCCAGGATGAATTCAAACCCACCAACTGCTACATGGGAGAGAGAGAGAGATGTGCAGTCAGCCCATAAAAATCACAGCCTTGGCAACACTATGGGGCCAGTTCTACTCTGTCTAGTTGATTTACTATGAGTCTGAATCAATTCAACAAAAATGGGTTTGGTTTGATTTCGGTTTTAATGGGTCAAGGAATTTAGAGGCAGGATCTTTTAGTTGTTATTCTTAGCAACTCAGAAGCTAGCTGGCCTGAGAACAAATCCAGCTTTACCCCTTTCCTAGCTGGGTGACCGGGGTTAATTACTTAGCTCTTCTGGGCCACATTTCCTCTAGATTAAAAATGTAACAATGAGGAACATAAAATTAATAATTTCCAAATTGGGTCATGGTGGTTTTCCTGCACATGTAATGCTTGATCAATATTTTTGTATTTTATATCATGATGTTTATATCTTTCAAGAACTTTGAAAGCTAAAATATAGTAACAATAATATTGAAATTGCCTTTATAATGTATTACTATTGAAAATGATCCACACATAAAGTGTCTGTTTACAGATAACAAATGTTCACAAAGATCAGTCTGAACTCTCTACTTATATTTTAGGAGCACAACAAAATTTTAGACAAAATCTAATATATATTTTAAATCATAGCACAATATAATCTATGATATCAGGTAATTAAGTTATTTTCCTTGTTTGATGCAGTGGAACATAAGTTAAACTGATCTTTCAGACTCATTCAGTGGTTTAATCAGACCTTATGCAGTAGGTCACAGTTGACATTGCATTTGGGGACATTCTGGTGTTAGATGTCATCGGGTTGGTTACGACCTGTAGTGGCCCTGTGCACAGCAGAATGAAACACTGCCCAGTCCTGCTCCAGCCTCACAATTGGTCCTCTGCCTGAGCCCAGGGTTGCAGAGCTGTGTAAAGCATTTCATTGACGGCCTTCCGCTTTTTCGCTGCCTGCCCACTTTACCATGGAACATTCTAAATAATACTTTCCCATGGGACATTCTAAGTACTTCCTTTCACCCCTCCAAACTACTGATGCACAAAGGGCCTTTCTCTTTTAAGGCTGCAGGCTCTATTGCATGCACACATACTTTTATCTTCATGAATTTGTTTTTGATGATTCCTTCTTTCACTTAAGTATATGTGATGCTCACTTTTCTACATCCTTAAATATTCTGGAGCACAGTGTTTTTTTGTTTTGTTTTTGCCCAGCATAATGAGTACACTAAAGTTTCACTGAACTGGGCACTTTTAGTTTATTTTTTTTCTCTACCAGTATATATGTGTGTGTCTATTTGTATGTATCTGTGTGTGTGCCTCTCATTTTATTTATTTGTTTGTTTCTTTGTTTATATGTCTCCCTCTCTCCCTTTCCCCTGGCCTCTCTTTCCCCTTCACAATCTGCTTCTTTTCACGTGAAAACCATTTTTCTTGATTAGTGGAACAGATTTTTAATGGTTTGATAAAGTATCACAAACTTATGTTTAAAATGTCCCCATTTCTGGAATTTAGATGTTACATTTTCCCGTATTTTGAATGATCAATGAGACTGATCACTAATTTTAACATAAACGATTTACTGGGGCAGGGGGCTACTTTGTAGAATGAAAGTGTAAGGATTGAGAGGAGAATTTTTTTCCCCTAGGAAAGCGTGGTGAAGGATGCTATGGAGAATAATATAATACTGGCCATTGAAGCAGCTGGACCCTTGCCCATTTCCTCCTTCTGATGGGATTTCAGTCCAATGATCTGTTTTGTGTCATTTCCAGGTTTTCATTCGATCCCAGGTTTATACCAATACATACTGGATTGGATTATATGCTACAAAAGAGAATCAATGGCAATGGGTTACTGATGACAAACCAGCTACACTGTAAGTCAGGCCCTGGACTATATTTAAATTCTCAAATTGGTGTGAAAGTTGGAAGAATGATCTTTAAGGAAATTCTTCTCTCATTTTATCTTTAAGTAGAGGTCATTAGTAGAGTGATTAAGAAAGCGTTCAAAGAAGTATACTTGAAGAGAAAGAGAAGCTCATGGAGAGCTAGTAACAATCAGACAAAAATATTGGGAAACACATGCATGTTATGAAACAAAGCAATGCGTGATGTGGAGTGGTGGATCATCCTGGTTATGCCACAGTGAGCCCTCTTAGCGACAACAAATGAGTATCTTGAGCATCCCAGAATTTCATTTCAAATGCTTTTATATTATTAATTCACATACACACACACACACACACACACACACACACACGCAAATCAAAGAGAATTGCTGCTAGGGTTCCAGTTTCCACGTATGTGAATTGATTCCCCAAAGAAGCATTTTTCCATAGGTCTCTGCAGTGGTTGTAGACAAATCCTCTTAACAATATCCTTGTTAGAGTCTCATTCGGTGCCTTCCAACAAAGGTCCGATCAAAATAGTGGCTTTCAAAGAAATCTGCTGGGACAGTTCAATTTTAGGCAGCAGTTCAGAAGGTTAATGAAACTTTTTTTTTGGGGGGGGGTTTCCCCCCCAAAATGAATAGAGATAGCTATTTTTTGAAGGACACCGGATGATGGAGGATTAGTGAAGAAGATTTAAGAACATTGAAAACTGCAGTGGTTGAGAAAAGACCAGGACATTTGTACTCAGGAATTAGTTTCCATCATGCTAAAGAACCCGCTCACTTTTCAATGGTAGCAAGGACTGTCTTAAGAGAATTTTGTTAGGAAACATCATCCTGTCCATCTTTCTACACTGATCTTGCTTCTTCAGACTTATTTTTGTTCCCCCAAACTCACAGAACATTTAAAAGGAACCTGATCGGAGTACCTCAAGGGTGCTCAAACCTGCTGTTTGGATGTGTACATTGAAGAACACCGCAGGAGCACTCTTTGTGGGAAGGATGGGAGTCCTGAAAACCCGCAGGGACAGTTCTCCCCTGTCCTGTACGCTCACTGTGAGTTGGGACCAACTCAATGGCAGTCGGTTGGGTTTCCTGACGCTCGCCAGGCGCGCAGCCCCTAGTTGCCTGGCTCTTTGGAAAACCCAATGCATCTTGAGTGCTTGGGTAATTTTCAGAAATCACTAAGAGCCAAACCAAGTTCTTCGTCCCACCAAATGAAACTCACATAACATTCCTTTAAGTATTTTAAAATTGCACAACTCAGTGATATTGAGCCCATGCCCAATGTCATGTGACTGCCATTTCTATCCAGTTAGAAAATATTTTCATCAGGCTCAAAAGAAACAGTGTCCATGAAGCATGCCCTGCCCATTGCCTGTCCCCACTCCCCAGTCAGTGGACAAAAGATACGGCCAATTAAAAGGCAGGAGAGCAAGGAAGACCAAAATGGATGTCAGAAGAAACTCTGACACTTATTCTCGAAAGAAGAGTAGCTACACCAAATGGAAGAATGAAAGAAGTCAAGCTAAGCAGTTTTTAGAGGACAAGTTGAGAAGACAAAACGTTACAATAAAATGTGCAAAGACTTGGAATTAGAAAACTAAATAAGTAGAATACAGTTAGCATTCCTCAATGCGAAAGATCAAATTCAAGCCTTGAGTTGTAATATTGAAGAATTCTGTGGGCACAATATTGAATTACACAGGATATCTATCTATCTATCTATGAAGATGGGAGGAATATAAACTCTACCAACCTTTTCTGACGGTAACCTATGATGAAGAACTTATGATATGAAAAGGAGAAAGTCCATGCTGCAGTGAAGCCTTAGTGGTAAACAAGGCTCTAGAATTGATGTACTTCTAATTGAGATGTATCAACAAATAAATGCAGCATGGGAAGCACTCATTTGTTTATACCAAGAAATTTGGAAGACAACTACCTTGCTAACTGAAAGGAAGGAACCTACATTTGTAGCCATTCCAAAGAAATATGAGCCAAAAGCATGCAGAACAAATCAATATCATTAACATTAATCACAAATAATTGAAACATAGCCCCAACATGAAAATGCAAGAAGTTCAAGCTCGATTCATAAGAGATATTAACATGAAGGGTCTCACTGATGACATTAGATAGTTCCAAGCTGAAAGCAGAGAATATCAGAAAAGTGTTTAATTGTATTTTATTGACTATGCCAAGGCAAGTGACTGTGTGAATCATAACAAACTATGGATAAGATTGAGACGAGTGGGAATTCCAGAACACTTCATTATGCTTATGCAGAACCTGGACCTGGACCAATGGGCCATCTTTCTTATAGAACAAAGGAATACTGTGTGGTTTAAAATCAGGGTTGTGTCCTTTCATCACACTTATTCAATCTGTTTGCTGAACAAGTAACGTGAGAAGCTGGAGTGTAAGAAGAAGAACGCAGCATCAGGATTGGAGGAAGGCGTATCACAACCAGGGATATACGGATGATACCATCTTGCTTGATGAATGCGAGGAAGACTTGCTGACAATCAAGGACTGCAGCCTTCACTATGGGTTACAACTCAACAGAAAGGAAAACAGTTATCCTCAATATTAACTGATCATTAACTGACATCACGATCAACGAAGAAAACTTGAAATTTTCTGAACTCGTGGAGAGTTTATTAAATTAATGAAAAATATAGAGCAGGATGCAGGGGGGAGAAAATTAGATAGCTGCAAGTGAGAGAAAGATCCACATTACTGAGTCCTGGGCTAGGCACTTTTCCGATGACCTCTTATTCTTGGATGCATAACCCATTCTGATGATGGCTTAATTTCCAGGACCAAATTTGTGGTTAGGGTAAGGGGCCTCAACAGATAGAAGGAGGTTGGGGCCAGCAGAACCTTTTCTTTCTTGGGTAATTGCCCCAGCAGGAGAGCCTAAACAAATAATTAAACTGATGTGAAACTTTGGATTTTATTTGTTTTTTGGGCAGAAGACCAGAATGGATGTTTTGCTTAAGACTTAATGTCGACTGCCTATGTACCTCATGGACATTTTGTGTGTAATATAGAATGCCTGCTTGCTTTTTCTTCCTTTTGTCTATATTTGATGAAGTTATGCTCTGTTTAGTGTATCTATGACTAACATGTCTCAGAGATTACTAATTTGCTTATTCATATTTAATACAGCTTAGGAATACTGCCTATGCCTCACAAGTGACTTGGTTTTATTTATCTGCCTTGTCTTCTTTCTGTAGCAGCAAATTTGAATATTGCAACAAATGAAAATCACTTGAGAGGTATCTTGTGATTTTGGATTCTTAGGTGGCATTATTATTTTTCTCTTATGTTTAAATTCAAGTGTCAAACCAGGCATATTATTAAAAGCAACCAACCAACAAACCAAATCTGGTGGTTCCTCCGGAGCTAAGTGGCACCCGTGGTTTGCAGTTAGTGGTCTAAGTGATCCAGCAGCTCAGTGAGACACAATCCTCATCAACTGCTCCCAGATGATTACAGCTGTGAGTCAGAGGCCAATCGATGGCTTCTAACGCAAAGAGCATCATGGTGGCTTATACTGTAGACAGGGACAGATTGTCCAATACACAAGGTAAACAAGGGTTTACTTGCTTTTTATTTTTTTTACTAGTCTGTAGTGAACAGTTTCATATGGGTTTGACTCCATCTTTGTTATTCGATGTGGTGAAAAACATGTGAGTCTGTTCACTACAGATTAGTATGTAAACACATATTTGTTTGCCGTCCTTGTTAGGGATTATATATTTGAAAAGAGACTCTGATTCTGTAGGAAGGTACTGTGGGTTTGGAAGAGACAGACACCCCCTAAATACCTAGAAGCAGAATTTTTGATGTCGTGACTAAATGTGAACTTGGTCACTACCCGTAAGTAAATCTGTGTTTCCCTTGTTGACTGTGTAATTTGACACTGCCTGTATAAACCCTTTGGCGTCTCAGCCTTCTGAAGCTAGTATCGTCTCTTGATTTTAGAAGTCCCGTCTTGGATGGGACATGAGCTTTGTCCTCAATCCCTTGAGTCATTGAGAAAACATTGCGCGGATTCCCCAGCTTCAGTAAATCCCACCAAGGGAGAAACTCACGTCCTTCCTTGTTCCGACCTTTCCTGAACCCTTAGACTGGACTTTTTGTTCCTTCTTGGACCTTCTGATTCAACAAAAATTTAAAAGCTTTTCAGTTGACATTTTTAGTTATACTCAAGAGAGGGAATTCTGGCACCTTTTTACCATTTTGCTGAAATTTTACTCTAGTTGTTTTTCAATAGATCACTATATTTTAGGTAACAAACAACTATTAATTATACACTCTATGAAGTGGAGGGAGAAAAAGAAACAAAAATAAAATGAACAAAAGCAACAACCATCAACCTCATCTCTGTCTTCATTCCAATTTATTAATTTTTCTCCTTGAGGAGAAAATTTGCACATGAAATTTGGTTGTTTGTATCATAGTAGATCAATTTTTCTTGTTTTAATCTATCTGCTTTGTTTTAAAATAATAGCACCAAATGACAGCGCATAAATGGTGTGGGGGCCACTTCCCACCTCTTCTGGCTTCAGTAGGGGCAAAGAGAATTTAAGTACACATCTGCCCAAAGATGATTTCTATGAGGTAGAGGTCAGTAATGCCTCTAGCCTTCACCTGTCTTTACCCTATTCTCACACCAACAGTCACTCACTTCACACTCTATTTCTCTGCTGGGTTTGATAATCTGTTGCAATGGCCATAAAGAACTCATAGATAATACAGTACTCATGATTCTGAATTTATTAAGGAAGCTAGCTGGTCATCAGTCAGCTCAGAAATGTTAAGGATACAGCTTTTTTGTCTGCAATGCATTTTCTTAACTGGTTAAAGCATGTCTCTTTCTGGTCCTCTTGCAATTTTACAAAGCTCTTTACTGTTGCTGATAAATGTCCCAAAGGCTCCCTACTTTGCAAGCCAGCTTCCTGTCTGAAGGCACTCAGCTTTACTGCCGAGACAAGCCCGCTCTCCGTGACACTGCCGGTGCTGCTGTTGGCACTGCTGCCTGTTTCTCCAGGCAGGGAGCACAGGGTCCAAAAGGCATGCTGTGATGAGGGCTCTTCTTTCTTGATATTCATGAGACCCCCATTCCTGCCTCTGGGATGGCCCACTGTCTCTAGGCAGCTCTTTAGGCAACAGAGTTAAAAAAAATTATCACAAGTTTTAGAATGAAATGATTGACCATGTATATTTACCCAACAGAATGGCAAAGCTGACCAGTCTCTATGTTAGAGTCCCATATATCTTATTTTCTCACTCCCATCCAATCATTTGAGTTACAGATTATGTATAGATGTGCTATACCAAGTAATTCTGTAGTTATACTATAATCCCATAGCAATATTACAAAGTTATTTTGCCTTCTAACAAAAAATCCCAGTATAGAATGAAATGGGAGATTATGGATGAAATCAAGAAACTGTTAGATTATTCAATGGACTAAGAGCAAATGGAAATATTTTTGTCATAAAGTGTAGTTAAGATTTCTACAATTCATATCTTTGAGCAACAGAGCAAAGAAAAGTAATTTATGTTGTTAAAAGCTTCAGAATTAAGTAAGTGACCGTGTGTTTTTTCTCTTTTACAGTAATTACTCAATAATAAACTTGCCTTTGAAGACAGGACGATGTGCATTCTTAACCTCAACAAGAATAACCAATATCAATTGCCTTAACACCTACAACTGTATCTGTGAGAAGACAATTACTTATTATTTCCTATGATCTTCATAGATGAAAACCAATGTGAAAATTTTGTCAGTTTTTTGCTTGGTTACTGTAAAAAATTGTGATTAGATTATTTGCAAGTAAATGTTTTTGACATCTAGGCTAACCTATTCTATTGTGGAAGGAAAGAAAGACAGTCCGAAACAGTCAAATACCCATTGATGAATGAATAAACAATTTGTGATATGTCCACACAATAGAATACTACTCAGTTAAAACAAAAAATGAACAAAAACAACAAAATAAACCAAAACTATGGATGATTCCAAAATGATGCTGAAAAAAGAATCCAGGTACAAAAGAGTCTATGACATATTAAATTTTGTATTAAATTCTTGAATAAGCAAAAATAATTAATCATGACAGAGGAGATCACGGATTGCCTAGAACCTCAAACTCTTTACCTAGTACCTTAGTGTGTTAGCCGGTTTGTACCTCTCAGGGGTTCTTTGTGGGATCCTTAGATGCCTGTGTTTTTTGAATCTGTTACCTAGACCTCTCAGACAGCTTCTGGGAAAGCCACAATCTCTGAGGACTACATCTGTCACAGCCCCAGGTGAACATGATGGTGACCATGCCAATGACCGGCCCTTGAAAAGGTTATGGAAACCCATCTTTTAATCAAAGATCTATAGCAAGTGTCATCAGTGTCCTCAGCCCAGGAAGCTGGACCAGCATCCAATCAGGAGAGGCAGGTGGTCTGAGTGGCTCAGGGAAGCGCAACACACTATGTCTGGCATACTTTGCCAGTGATGAAGTTTGTTTATCTTCTGCTTTACTGCCACTTCAAGACCCTGATGTTGATTATGCATCCATGCCCTGCACCCATAACTCCCTAGTGCAGAGTGTTAATAAGAAATCATCTGTTTAATATTAGGAATAATACAATGAATTCTGTGATTCTTAATACACTATATAAACATCATAGTTGAAACAATTAAAAGCCAAAGAGTGAAGGAAAATAGATATACACAAATTAAAATCCATTTTGAGTGCATTGTAATTGTAATATTTTCACAAGCTGCCTGACTCATGATAGTCAAGACGGATAGTATCATGTCTTCCTCCAAATTCTCCAAAATTATTCTGTGGCATCAGTTCATAATGTGGTCCACCTGTGTGCACACAGGAGCCCTGTGGCATCATGGGTTAAACCTAGCTAGGGCTGCTACCTGCAAGAGCGCCATGTCAAGTCTGCCAGCTGCTTCGTGGGAGAAAGAGGAATCTGTCTCCCCCTGTAACTACTTATCACTTCCATAACTAAATGGAGCAATTTGACTCTGCTCTGCTGGCTTGTCATGAGTCCGAATCAACTTAACAGCTGTGGGTTCTACGTGCACAAAGCATCTGCCCGTACATACCGTAAAATATTCCTTAGGAAGCTGAATGCCGCCAACATCATGACAGTAAAAACACTGCATGATTGCATTATCTATATGCTCACTTTTACAATACATAGACTAAGATGTTTAATGTCCAAATGCAGAGAATGCTGATTTTTTCAGTTAAAAAAATGATAGTCAATATATATGTGATAAAGTTTTCCATTTTAACATTCTTCACATATACAATTAAATGACGTTAATAGTCTTCATGACAACCATCACTATTATTTGTTTCCAGAATTTTCCATCACCCTTAACAGTAGCTCAGTGTCCCCCTGAGCTTCTGCTTCTCCTCCCCCTCCCCCTGATAAGCACTAGCTACTGTTGAGTTGCTTACACTTGACTCTGCTAGATATTTCAGATCAGTGGAACCCTGTATTTGTCTTTTTGTGGTTTATTTACTTTACTCTGCGTGATGTGTTCCAGATCCATTCATAAGGAATTCTGATTTTTATTCATTAGATAAATAATATGAAATCCCATATGTCAAGTAAAGAAAAGATAATGGCAAAATGTTAGGGTAAATTACTGTGCATTTATCAGAATGGCTAAAATGTAAAATTCAACAACATCAAATGCTGGCAAGCAGCAGAGGAGCGGGTCACTCACATATGGCTAGTGGGCAGGTTGAACAAAAAGGTTCTGAAATGGATTGTGGTGATGATTGCACACATCTTACTATAATGGAATGATGAACTTGTATGCTATGTGAAGTATATACCAATCAAATGTAGTAACTGAAAGTAGAAAGGTAATGTACTGTGAACTGTAATTTATGCAACAGTATTGCAAGCATAAAACTCCAGCAATGAAGACTAGATGAGTAGTTTCCAGGGTCAGAAACACGCATGAAATAATGGGGCAAGCCTGACCCTCCAAGGGCAGTGTGCGGGATTCTTGTGATCGCACCACTCTGTACCTTGATTACATTTATGTCATTTCCTGATTGTGATATTTACCATAGTTTTGTAAGCTATACACATTGGGAGGCACTAGGTATAGGATGCACAGTATCTCTCTGTATTATGTACTGTATGTGAATCTAAAATTAATTCAAAATAAAAATTGGTAAGATTCTAATATATTAGTATCATTTCATTGCTGTTTTAATTCGTAATTCTTTAATGATGGGTGGAGGTCTATCTTGGCAATCACACACTGCTATCACAAAAATACTACGAGTGAGCAGTGTGCACAAACAGACCTTTATTCTTCCACTGTTTTGGGGGCTCGGTATCTAAATTCATAGCAATAGCTCCAGGGGAAGCCTTTCTCTCTCTTGTGGATCCAGATGAAGGCCTTTGTCTCCTGTTAGCAGTTGTAGCATCTGTGCCCTTTGGAGATCTCATGCGTTTTGGCACCAGTCTTTC